TTGAGAGACTTCAGAACCTTTGCAGAATTCAGACAGGTGAAGCCACACTTGATGAAGGTTACAAGGACAACTGCAATTACAGAATATTTTTGAAGACTCTAACCCTTTACGTTTGTGTAATAAGAGACCCTGCTGTGTGATGTAAGTATTTGATACACTTTTTGATTTTGAGAACCTTGTTTGTATGAGCACTTTTCAACAAAAGCAAAAATAACTCAAGCAACCTTAATTATCCATAGATTTGCATCCACTTCTGGGATGGCTGTGTAGGTCAGTATTGCCTTTAAACTGTAGCTGGTGGAAAAATTTTGGAAGTAAACTAACATGCTAGCAAGTTACTTGAGGATGTTGGCACTGTCTTTGTTATGCTCCACTACATATCATTTCATTGCAAGCACATTACGTAGGCAAAGTCAGCTACCATAGGGTAGTCTGAGTTATTTTGTGTTGGAGGGACTGAAGGCCTGGAGTGGTATGACCATCCATAATTGAAATCTGAAAAGAAATTCAGAGTAATGCATGAGGAGATGGGATAGATGTCTCAGTATCTGGAATTCTAAATGTTTTTAATTTGGTGTCTGGTATGAAATCTATAGCTTTGAGCATAAGCAGTTATTTACTGATTTGTATAAAACAAAATGCATTCATATTTTTGTTTTTTTAGGAGAGTAGAAAATGCAGACTTCCAAAGTGATAGCTTACACAGCTGAGAGAAAATACTTGGTCGCTGTCTCAGCACAAACACACATGTTCTAGTGTTTTAATACTGGCTCTGATTTCATTAAGTCTGTCCTCAGACTCTTGGAATTCAGTGATCTATCCTAAAGTGTCAAATTATTTTGTCAAATAAACATACAAATAAACATTTTCAGTGTCTGTTTTCTTCCAAAAGCTGTAGCAAGCTCACCTTCTGAAGGGAGATCTTGCCTGTGGGCACTAAAATACTGGATAAAACTTCAACATTTTCAATTTTTGGACAGATTTTAGAGTTGAAGTGTTTTATGAGAACTTGTGAGAACTCCAGAATTATTTTCCAGTTCTCTATGGCTGCTTTTAACATTCAAACAGTAACTCTTACTACTTTGCATGTTAATAGAAATAGATTCCCTCCCTGCCCTGCTTTTCGCTTTGAAATAAACTGTTTTGGGATCAGACCAAGAGTTTGGGGTACTTGCTTGATTTTCCAAGACCTTCCTAAAGTTTAAAGTGTCTAGCTTTAAATGGAAATTTTAGTACAATTTTTAAGTCTGTTTGCTAATTAAAATTGGGTTTAATGTACTTTCATCGGATACTTCACTTCCCATCTTGAAAGCTTCCTTAAGCAATATAACTTTAAATGGCTTAGTATAATACTTTTCTTCTCAGCAGTCTCTATTTCTTTTTGAAACCTGAGTGCTAAGCTAAAATTTGAAGTTGTAAGTTTATTTTTATGAATGAATGAAAAATTCTTTGGGGGAGAGTTCTGTGGTGGTTTGTTGTTTGTTGTTTTGTTTTTTTATTTTACTTCTAAGCTTGCTTCATAGGAACTTGGCAGGAGTCAGAAAACAGAGCCTATGTGATAAGATGCTTCTCATTGCTTTATTGGTGGTACCTTGCATCTGCATGAAGTTATGAGAACTTCTAGGTAATTCTGAATTCAGAACTGCCATCATGTAGGTAATTCTGAATTCAGAATTCATACAGAATTCAACATCATACAAGTACTGCTGCAAGTCTACCCACCATCTATGAACACTGTGGTTTGGGTGCCAAAGACATCTGTTTGAGAGCTCTGACAGTATGAAACCTGTGTGTGGTGGTTTGTAGCAGAGTACTCAGAGAAACTGTATGCAGCAGCCATTGCTCTTTGAAGAAAACTGTCAGTCCTTGATTGTCAGAGTAGAATAATTGGAGACAATTGATTTGTGAACTTGGTTTGGTCACTGGCAGTTGCCCTGCATATGAAAGATAATCCATAAGTAGATGCTAAAAATCTGTGAGGGCAGGGTCAAACTAAATTGTTGAGGTAACTTGCAAGTGACAGTCATAGAATTAAGTCTGTCATCAAGGTTTTAGCTGTTCTGGATCACGTGAGCAAGACTTCTGTCCAGTTTTCCTCCCTGTTAACTTACTTCTTTTTCAGGAAAATGACCTATAGATGTGAAAACTACATTTAAATAATATGTGTCTTTTCATTGGAAGTTTGAACTTCTGACATGGAGAAATGGCAGGGTTTTCTCTGTTACAGAGGAAGAGGAAATGGAGGGGGAAAAGTGGATTGCATGAGGCAAGCAATGTATGGGAAGCAAGTGTTTAAGATGAGTTCTGAGATAAGAGGTGACATTCTCCTAAAGCAGAGGAGTTGCTTTTTATGAAGTATAGATGGTGACTTAATTCTTCTTAGCACTATCATTTTATCCATATAAAGCTTATGAAATCTACAGAAACACAAAAAGATTCATACTCAATAGCGTTTCCAAAAGTAACCGCTTCAGGAATTAATATCTTGTTTTGTGCAGCTTACTGTAATACTTTTAACTTCTGTATCGTGGCTTGGTACATTTTAAAATCCACATGGTAATTCTTTCACCGTCTTTTAGACATTTTGTTCTGTATTGTGTGATTCAGAGAGATATTTCAAACCAGGAGTTACTTCTTGCATGCCTGACTTAAATGGAAGCATCCTGCACATGGGGCCTCTCTTAGCTTCGGATTTCCCAGAGCTGAGGCTCTTATCTCCTGCTGTGGCTGTAGGAACATGTAAGCCCTAACACAGACAGTTCAGTGTGGTAAGGTCCTGAAGTCATAAGGTCTGTGAGATAAACGTCAGGCTTTGTAGTGTAAATGTCCTGAAACTGCAAAAATAGCAGTCTGAGGATGCTTTATGCTCAGTAGGTGTAGCAGCATAGTTTTTCAGACCATCAGCGAGACTTAGACTTTCTAATGTGCTCTGTGTTTTCATGACTTAGAAGTGACATCCAACATAGCAGTACTTGCTTACAACAATGGGAAAAAAATTGTGCTAAGTTTTGTTTGGCTCCAGCAGAGGTATGAAAGAGGAAGAGGAGAAACATATGCAGCTGTTACAGCACGTTTGAATTGAAGTAAAACCAGATAAGAGCAAGGAAACAGGCAGCTTTCTTCTTTAAATAAACAGGAAAAAAAACCCCAAACGATCAATAAACCAAATTTTAAGGGGCAGGCGTGTGTTTTTTAAAGATACATTATTATTACTGGAGGACACTGAAAGGAATGAAAATAGCCATTTCAGATTACTTTTAGAAATTATTGTGCTGGATTTTTTTTTCCTCTTCAACTAAGACTTGGCCAAACTGCTAAGAAAGTTGAAAGCTGTTGTTTATGGCTCTCTGCTGGGAACGAGGTTAATTAGTGTATGCCGTACAGAAATATGTTGCAGATTAAAATGCCTGAAGTTAGAAGCAGCTATTGTTTCAGTGTACATTAGCTGATTGATGTGGGTGCTGCCTTAGGAACAGTGGCAAGTCAAGTTTAAAAGTCTAAGGCATGCGCCTCCGGCCTGTGCCCTTTTACCTACTTTGCTTGCAAGCACGTGGCAGCGGAGGAATGCAGCAGAGGGGAAGTGTACAGCGGCTTATGATTAAATTGGCCTTGAAGGAGGAAAACAAGTGTTCAGAGAAAGAGACTTCAGGAAGCCTTTGGTATTCAGCCATCATAATTCAGGGCACTCTTAAGGGCTTATGGTTTTCTTAAGTAAAGAAAAAGAATATGAAAAGAAACAGGCCATTTTATTGTTTCACATCCTAAGGTTAAGCAGTACAGTCCTAGAACTACACTGTATTTGTTTTACTTGATTCAGGATTAATTCTTGCTGGATTAATATTTTTTCATTGGGGAATGAGGAATATTTTCCTTACTGAAGCATATTTAATTTTATGAGCATGCTAAATTTTAATTAATTAAAATGTCAAGTTGACTGTTAACAATTAATGCTATTTATAGTATTTTTATGCCTTGGACAGTAAAACAGCATGTGCCTAAAAATAAAAGGTTCCTGAAATTCTTTCCTTTCAGAAACAGAGAGGAGATAAATTACAAATTTCCAAGCTGAAAAGTCACAGGGGAGGTGAAGGGTAACAGAAACTGGTAGATCTGGTACTTAAAACACTGGCATTCCAAAATACAAAATTTTGTGAGTGAACAGCAGAACCTGTTGGCCCTTCTTGAAACAAATCCAGGTGCCTGATTCTCTGTATGCGGATATGGTTGTATGTGTTTGTTGGGGTTTTGTTTGATCTTAGTCTTAATAGTACCATTAAACATATGATAAATTCTTAACTTTGAATACTTTCCCCTTTTGCAACTCCTGTTGAGCCCAGGTTATACCATGTATTACAGCTGCCTGTCTCTGTTTTATTGCTCTGTTGCAGTTTTGCTCTCAACGTCAGCTGGTGATGAACAATTTAAATGAATGAATGGACAGCTGACTTTGACTTCCTCATACTTGCCTACAGCAGAGCCCTTATAAGTTGTTAGTGGCTGAGTCATTAAGTACTACGAATTGCAGTTGTTACTAGGGCACACAGGGCTTGTTTTAAAGCTTTTAAAACTGGTCTTCAAAGCTAATTTGTGTTCTTTGTTGTCCTAATCAGACGCTGTACTCACATAGATCAAATTGCATACTATCTCTAGGATACCATGAGCTTTAGCTACCCCTCTGAAAACACAGAAGCCTGATTCACTCAGAACACAGCTTCTAAAACTTGAGCAGTGTCTGATGGATTTGGGAGATCTGTGAATTGCCACCAGCCACTGTAGGAGTATTTGAATATCACAGGTGGATCACTGTAGGCTGCTCTAGGGATAGGCACTTTAAATATTGCAGTCCCTTCCTGTTGGTCAGCAACCTTACTAGATGATGTTGTTCATATCTGCCTTGTACTCCTTCTCTTTTATTTATTATGCATTTATTTCCTAAGCCTACTGTTACTGCTGCATTCCCAGTACTTATGTTCCCTTTGCACCTGTTCTTTGTACTTCAGATGACTTTGACATAGTTGAATATTTACAGGCTAGAGGAGCAGCACTACAGTCATAATAAACTGCTTTTGAAGTGCCCAGCTAAACTACATTGGTTAGTACTCACATGCCATTCAATAGGGGATGACAGTCTATCAGAATTTCCTCTACTCTGCATAATTTTGATTGTTGCAGTTATAGGCCAGTCAGAGCTCGGAGCAACAGGGACTATATAGTGTCTTATCGCTGTGAGTAATCACCTTGAAATTAAGATATGAAAAAAATTTCAGTGAAAGATATGGCCAGAAGCAGCTTTGATTTGCTAAGTGAGCTGAAAACTGTAGATATCTTTTGTTTCAAACCCCCATTTGCTAAATCACCTTTATCATTAAGAGGGGGATACTCTGGAGCCGTGATATGCTATTTCCAAATATTATGACTTTCTCTACTCTGCTCTTTTTTCTTTTTTTCTTTTTTTCTTTTTTTCTTTTTTTCTTTT